CGTTCCTACTTGAATGGGTAAAATTGTTCGTTACCATTATTACTATTTCGTCCCCACCGTATTGCAGCAACTGAAGATTCCAATTCATGGCATCGAATCTACATCAAAGCAACAAGTAACTGATTCGGAGATCTCTATCTGACGTCCAGGGTGCGAGTGTTTTAGTACTTTTTATGGATGGCTTATTTTTTTATTTGACATTTTCCCTCGTGATCAAATGTTTCTAGGTACTGCTGATATTATGCTCCCTGGCATTATTGTATCGGGCATGAGGACTTTTGCCTCCTATTCATGTGGAYATTGCGATCCTTTCGCTTAACCAAGTTCCATTGGCAATGATGATTCGTCGAGTTACATTTGCTTAATTTGGGGTGGCTGAATTTGCTCTTCTTTGTTCTCTTCGACAAAGGAAGAATTTTGGGCAGTTACCTCACTGGTGCCATTGATAATGATTTGTTCTTTCGATTCTACCACTGAAATAGCCGTTTTACCGGTGAAATCCACAACTTCTTCGACCTGTGGTGGCTTTTCTTTTTTCTTGATGAAAGGCAATATGTTTTTGGACAAAAACTTGCCGGTTTTTTTGGTGAAAGCTTCCTTGGCTTGTGACAAGGGGGATTGGTTTTCTCGTCGGTATTTTGCTTTTGCCAACTTCATCTGGCGAGCTCGCTCAATTGGATTCATGTGAAGCCATACTGGGGGAGTATCGGAGGAAGTGTTGATACTCTCACTCTCACTGCTGACGTCCTTGTTCTCGCTGCTTCCAATGCTCGTGTTGTTGTTCTTTCTTTTATCCCCTTGAAACTTGGCCCCATCTGCAGAACTGCTGTTCGCAATAGATCTGGCATCAACTTTGATCACAGCACCACCATCTCCCTCTTTGTTGACATTCTCAGACTGATCATCCAGGCCGCCGCCGCCGTCGTCGTCACCGTCGCTGTTCATGTTTTCGATGCCCTCCACTATCTTATCTCTCGCACTATTGAAATGTCCCTTGGCACCATCAATGATTCGATCGTTCAATTGTTTAGCTTCGCCAAATTCAGTTCCCAATACTGCCAGCCCAGAACTAGCAACCACAGCACCAAAGGGGGTGGGCAGAGGAATCATTACTAAGCCCACACCCACCATGGTTCCTCCCGCAACAGCGACAGCGCCCTTCTTGAGCATCTTCAATGGCTTTGCAATTGCTTTATCGGTACTGTCATTACTTTTGTTTGAATTGTCGTCTGATTCCTTTGGACGTGGCTTCAGCCATTCGATATCGCCACCGTCCTGGATATTACTCGCTTTTTGCTCTGTGCCATTGTTCGTTCCTTCTTGATCCGACGTAACGTCGGCATCACTACTACGCTCATCGTTTTTCTTCATAATACTTTTATCTGAATTTTTCTGTGAATCGATAAAATCCTTGCTCTTGATCTCTTCTGCAACACTTTTGCTTTTCTCTTCATCCTGGGACAGTTCTTCTCTTGGTAAAGTAGATGCATTGTCGTTTTGATCTTCTTCCGGTGTGTCTTCCAGTACTTGTTCATTTCGTTGTTCTTGATCTTGCTGAGTCTGCATTGTTGTTTTCTTCTCGTTCTTGGTTCCGTTATTTGTTTTGGTTGTGGTCGTCATCGTTGGGTCCTCCTCGAAGCTATTGATACTGTCTTGAACTCCTTGGTTCGTTCCATTGTTGCTTGAATGGTTTTCATTTGTTTCTGTTTCTTTTTCTAATACTTGCGTTGCCGAGGGCGACGAAATGTTCGAGGCCTCTGAGGTGACAGCAGCTGCAGTAGTATTGTCCTTGTCCGTAGAGATTACTGGTGAAACGATCACGACTTCTGCTGCATCGTCGTCAGCTGATGAAGGAGGATTGATGCTATGGATCATCTCTAGTTTCGTTCTTTGTTTGTCTCCACGAATATTTAAGCGTGCGGAACGTTCGTAATTGATTACTGGTTTCTTGGGATAATTCGATGACGCTCGCACTAGTTAACAACTTGATTGTGATGTCCGCTGGGCTCTGATATCAAGTTTGGGATTCGATCTAGAGCAGTCGTATCTGGTACGTACCGTACTTCTTATTGGTTTTGTTTGCAGACCGAGCGGAGTGCAAGAACATTTTGAATTCACCGAGCGATGAATGTCGTTACGTATGGCACGGTAGTAACATTAGGTATGTCGGAAAGCCGTTGGTCCCTGAATTCGTTTCGCTGTCCTCGTATCCGCAACCAGTGTACAGTAGGAACGGAGTGGACATGAGGCAAAAACGTTTTCCAGGAAGGCGACTACATAACGTGAAAAAAACATTTTTTCGTCAAACACGCAAGCAAGCACGAATCAATTTTTTCACTGGACCGTTTCTATTGAGAATGAATCAGGTGAACGAAGTCCGTACGCTGACATATGACCTTTTCTTGTTGAAGGAACCCGCAAGCACTAAATTCATATTCTAACAGGTAGACGGACTGACGACCGAATAGACATTGAGAAATTCATTTCAGCCAAACAGGCTGGCAGATCGCAGATTGATATTAATATTCTTTCATCAATACGTACCTTCATAGGTACGTACGTATGTAAGATGAGGAACATTGTGGAATGAATCAACCGTCAACCGTCAACCGGCTCTCATAATAGGTTTTCAAGGGAAAGGCATATTCTGTTTTCCGTTGAAAAAATTATGGTTAMAAYAATGTCTGTCATTTCTATTTTTGGGTTATCAAAGTCATTTGATTTCTATTGGCACATTGAAACAAGCCGRCAGGTATTTTTTACGACGACAAAACGTAAAATGTAACCTTTCTCATATCGTAAGACAAGTTGCGGGGACCGTTATTGTAAGTSAAGTATGTACGGTACCCTACGTATGCGAATTGGTGTCCCAAAAATACTGTTTGATGCAGATTCAGGACACCAGAATTTTTATGCAAAATASTGTATATCTGGCACATAKGACTAAAAATAGATTATACTACGTTATGGTCGCGCGTACAAAGGAGTGGTCAGAACTCCGTCTGGAAACAATTTCAACGCCCGAAGCGATTCCCGGGCAACGGACCCGTTGTATGTAGCACAACGCTTCTTTTCCTAAGTCCAAACACCGATACTTAGGAACGAAAAAGCGTTGAGATCGCGCAGGGCGTCTTTTTTGTTTGCAACCGGTACAGAAATAAATGATTTCGGCAGCGCTCTCCCTCCACTGGTGCGGATACGTAACAATTCCAAACTCTAGTCGGGACCTTCAACGTTTGATGGATTTCTCTTCTTCCACACAATCACCATTCGAAGCTGTTTCGGAGGAAAGWAGTGCTGCCTCGACGATAGTCGATCGATAATCACTRATTGTGCCGTAATTTAGTCATTTAATTTTGCTAGGGAAGAAAGAATCGAAGGATCTTGACTTCGAAAACAGTAGTGCTACAGTATGGGAGGAGGTAAGCCGAAAAATTTGTCTCGCTTTTTAAAGTTGAAGACGAGGCCGGCAAGGAACGACATTTTCTGCAAAGGATGGCAACCTGCGGGTTCACTCGTATCTGGAACAAACTATGGAGTTCACATTCTGTTCATAAAAGATGAGTACGGCCAAGACAATAGAACAGCACAACTGTTTCTTCGGCACGTGTTAAGGTTCCAAACGAAGACASTTTCTAGCTTCCATGATTGCTGTTGTTCTTGTCGTCGGTTTTGGTGAGATGCGTAGGTTACCGGTCGAGAGCATCTTGCCATTCCATCCTTAACCGTGCCGTCCGACGTCGCATCGATTTCTCCGTGCACTCAAAACCGGAATGCCTACGGAAACCGTAATCGTACTTTTGGTCTGTATCGCTCTGGACGTGTTGTCTGGTCGAGTGGTTCGTGTCGCGCGCCGTGCACTATTTTTCAAAACCACTAAAAAAGATGGCTCGCGCTCTTTGCGCGCGATTGTGGGCAATTAAAAAACCGTGTTGCTTGTCGTGCGCATAAGCCTTTTCACCAGCATGACGAATCCCAGAATGTCGTTCGCATGGACGCTCTCGAAAAATTGGACGCACTTGTCTGGCTCTGTTGAATTTGCGTGTCTGCACACTTGGGAACCAATACGTCTTCCTCGGTGTCCATGCTCCAAATGCATACCTAGGACGAAATAAATGATCCCATTCTTACCGGAATCGAAACTACCATGCCACTCGATCTAATATTTGATGCTGTTCCTTTCTCTGAATCCCCACACGCTCTCCCGAACAACAACAACAACAATAATAATCACCACCGTATCTCACGAACACCAATAACGCCCTAGAACGACGACGATCATCGCACCGACAAGTTTCCCCGAACGCCGAGGAGCTAAAAACACATTACAACAAGGCCGACGAAGATCGCCGTTACCACGCAAAGCAGCAGCGCCGTTCTTCGAGTCGCCGTCTCAGCGGTGGTAGAAAGAACCAGGTCCACCCAGCAGCGATGACAAGAAACGATGGGAATTCACCGAGCACTACGMAGCAACGGAGGTTGAAGAAAAAGCCGAACCTGACCGTGGACACTTCGAACGCGKCATCAAATGGTGGCGATCACCACGAACACCGCAGCCCGTCGACYCCTCACGGAGTTCGCGGAAGCCGTGACCTCAGGTCTCCCGGAATGCAAAACTCGCCCGTTGCAGCAGCGGGGGCCATTCCGGACTTTATCACACAAACCGATGCCCACGGAAACGCCACTACGCCGCGGTCGGCCAAGGCGATTGAAGGGGCCACGCGTGCTGCGGCGACGAAGGCTCGGTCGAGGAGTCACCGGGGGCGAAAGCAGCACGAGGAGGACGCAAGCGATAGCAGCAGCGACGCTAGCAAGGACGCAGCAGGAGAAGCCTGCGACACCTTAGTGGACAGTTTTCGAATGATTTGCTGCTGTCTCGCACCTACCGGTATGGTGCAAAGTGGTGCGACCACGAAGAGCAGACTATCGAGCAAGGAAACCCAGGACTCGGAGGAGAATATTGACGACGCCAAGGATTCGGTGGCAGACGATCACAACCGTCCCAAACTGTTGGGTGCGATTCATCCGGAAGATACCGGGAAGAAGTGCCTCGTTTTGGACCTCGATGAGACCCTGGTCCATTCTAGCTTCCGAGCCGTGGAAGGCGCCGATTTCGTCATTCCAGTAAAGGTGTGTAGTGGTGATTTTTCCCTCTTGTGGCTTTTTGCGGCTTCTTCGAAAACTTCGCTGACCTTGTCTTTCTTTCGCTCACTCGAACATCTTTTTCAATGATAGATCGATGATGTCGTCCACTTTGTGTACGTCATGAAACGGCCCGGAGTCGAYGAATTCCTCGTGGAAATGGCAAAACACTATGAGATTGTGATATACACGGCCAGTCTCAACAAGTACGCCGACCCTCTCTTGGATCTCTTGGATCCACACAAGACCATTCGTTATCGTTTGTTCCGTGAATCCTGTGTATTTTACGAGGGAAACTACGTGAAGGATTTATCGGTMTTGGACCGAGATCTGTCGAAAACGATCATCATCGACAACTCTCCAAATTCGTACCTTTTTCATCCCGAAAATGCCATTGATTGCTCTTCCTTCATTGACGATCCAAGAGATAGGGAGCTCGATCAAATTGGATCGTTCCTGACGGGCATTAAAAATGCCAGGGACGTCCGCGGGCTTGCGCCCCAGTGGAAAGACTGGCCCGTGATTGATCCTATTGAAGAAGAAGACGAACTCATTAGGTGATGACGAATCATTGACTAACTCATCTGCTGCCCGGTATCATTTTGAAAAAACGAAGTATGAGATGCAGATTTTCAACACCAGACTTTGTACAAATGCAATACTACCACCACCACCACATCGCTTGGTGTTACTTTCGCGAACACCACTTCTTTCTTCATAATAATAAGTCATTACAACAAAAGATAGAGGATCGATTTATCAAAACCGTTATCTACAATAAAACACGCAAAAGTTTGTTCTGTATTCGTTGGAACTGCACCTATGATTTGGCATCGTGCATCCAGAGAGAGCGACTTTGAGTAGTTGGTGCTTGGCAAGAGCGTATATTCTCTCGACTCACACAGATCTGGATACTTCGGCTTCTCCAGTCGTTTCATGAATCCTAGGAAAGTCGACTGCCGTGGTGTGAACCATCATTTCATGAGTTACAATATTCAAATAAAGTTAAAAGCTATYGGAAAGTGATCACGATTACAGTTCGCCGTCTATACTATCATCATACCCGGTGGCGGCCTTGGTCTCGGTCTCGACGTTGCGACGCCGCACGATCATCTTTGGAGTGAGTTTTACCGCMTCGTAGCCGGCGGCCCAACCAGCAACGAGATCGATGTTCCCGATAGGTCTCGATGGTGGTTCCCTCGAATGCTCCTGCGGTCCATCTGCCGCAACAGTTTCCCGAAACGCGTCGGCAGATTCTATTTTGAGTAGAACGTGATCGTCGTGCTGCCTCGAAAAGGACCGATTCCCATCGCACACAGCACCCGGTCCTACAAACGAGACCCCCTCTCCGGCGACGTCGATCACAAACTGGACATCCTTCTTTTGCAGTTTCGGTGGAACTTTGAGACGGAGCTTTAGCAAGGTCGACATTGTCTCGTTGTACACAGATGGTGCGAAGATTTCTTCGTGATCCAGGAGGGTCAAGGCAAACCAGGCATCATCGCGCCGAGAGGCATACGGTTGGACCTCGATGAAGACTCTTTCGTCATCGGGTTGCTGATCAGAAGGAATAATGGAACGGTGCATGATGACTTCCTCTGGGTCGTCCAATTCTATATAGCATTTGAGCCAGTTTGCATAGCCATGAACGGGTTTCACCGGGAAAAATAGAACTATCGATGGAAGGATCAGGAAAGCTAAGCGAGATAGGGTGCCTCGGGAACAACTCCTGGTCGCATTTCCCAGTCCTGGAATGGATATACTCGATGGGTTCTCCATTTTTTCTTCCTTGGTTTCCTTGTAGCGATGTTGCTTTTCCCAGTAGTACATGGCCTCTTCGATCGGAGGGTAACGATACCAGTGACACTATAATTGCTATTGCTATTTTCTCTTTTGGCGTTTTCTCACAGTCATACCTCGCACGGTTCTCGTGCAGGTACTTGTTCTGTGTGACGATAAATTTGATGATTGGATATAAGTGTGATGTGATGTACCGCAGAGAAATAGGAGTACGAAATACTTCGATTGCTATTCTTCTTCATGTTGTTCTCGTTCCGATACAATTCTCGCCTAGCCTGATTCGTACGTACGTACCGTAGCACCGTACTGGTACGTACTCATGAGTTGGGGTCATACTCGTACTGACTTTGTTTGGTCCAGTAACTTGTGCGGAACGCGGAACGCTTTCGTTACGTACCGTATCGTATGGTGGTCCTGCGTATGGTAGGATACATTACGTTGCATTACATTACCTTACCTGAAACATAATTCTCATTCGGTACGTACGGCAGGGATCGGTACGTACCGTGGTGAGTTCGGTCCTTCGTGTCTGTCTGTTTGATTTCAGTCATGGGTTGGCAATTCCTTATCCCCTAAATAATATCTAATCTAACTAATAACCCCCTTTTGTAATCCTCCCCCAAATGATGATAGTCTTTGTTGGCAACATTTGAAATATTGTTTTTGTAAAAGGTCATTCATTGAAACTACAGTTACCTGCATTCATCAACGAAACACTAAAACTGAGCGGTGGGAACCGTAAGTCCAACTGACGATCACAACGACAGCCGATAAGCAAAAAGCCAGTTGTGAATTATATTGTATTGCAAACATTCCTGTGATCATTTCTCAATTGTCCGTCCTGCTATTCGAATAGTTCTTACTCTTCATTAATACCGWCACAAAGACAAGACAATCAAAATGCAGCAAGGAAACTGGGATGTGACCCAGCTTGAGGAAATGTCGGGCACTCGACTGTCATTTCATTGCTGGCCGTCGTCTCGGTTGGAGGCTACGAGATGCGTAGCTCCCATTGGGGCTCTCTACACCCCCATGAAGAAGCTTCACCCGAGCTGCTGTCCTCCAACGGCTTTGCCCTACGACCCCATTCGTTGCTCCTCTCCCTCCTGTCGTGCGGTCTTGAATCCTTACTGCCAGGTCGACTTTCGGACCAAATTGTGGACGTGTCCCTTTTGTATGACGCGCAACCACTTCCCTGCCCATTACGCCGAGAACATTACCGAAACTAACCTACCAGCCGAACTTATTCCGCAATACACCACGTGTGAATATGAATTGCAAACCATTCCCGACCAGGGGCCACCGTGCTTTCTCTTTGTCTTGGACACGTGTACAAACTCGAAGGAAGAACTCGCCGAACTCGCCGATTCCCTTACTCAGGCCTTGCATTTGTTGCCACCCGATTGCCTTGTAGGAGTCATTACGTACGGGACAAACATCAATGTCTACGATCTGTCCAGTGACAGCATCAGCAAGGCGTACATTTTGAGGGGAAACCGGGAATAYGGACCAGGCAAAATCGGAGAGCTTTTGGGCTGCATTGGAGGGAGACGCAACCAGCAACATCAAAAACAAGGAGCGCACATGCCCCCTGGAGGTCAAGGCCAAGATATTTTGAATCGATTTCTCCGCCCCTTTTCGGAATGCGCATACGTAGTGGAATCCATCCTCGATGACATCCGAAAGTGTCCTTGGCCTGTCCCTACTGACAAGCGTCCTGCTCGCGCCACAGGTTCTGCCCTCAGCGTTGCCGTATCTCTTTTGCACCTTGCTATCCCTCGGCGTGGTGCACGCGTGATGCTCTTTACGGGAGGTCCATGTACTTCGGGACCGGGAAATGTTGTATCTCGTCTGAAGGAAGAAGACATGAGATCGCACGCCGACTTGGCTAAAAAGGCCGAACCGCTCTACCAGCCTGCCTGCGACTTCTACGCCAAACTTACCAATCCATCGGCCCTTGGAGATACCAGTGATAAAAACAAGAAGAAATCTTCAGCTCCACAAGCCAACTGCGCATATCACGTCGTTGACATTTTCGCGTGTTCGTTGGATCAAGTTGGTATGTTGGAGATGCGTTGTCTTGTGGAGGCAACCGGTGGAACTATGTTGCTGGGAGATTCCTTTGGACAGAGTGCCTACCAGGAAACCCTCAAGCGCGTTTTCAACAAGTACCCAGATGATGTCCCACAAGATGGAGGACAGATGTCCATGGTCTACGGTGCTACGATGGAGGTTTTTACGAGTCGGGAGTTCAAGGTCAGTGGTGCTATCGGTCCCGGAACCTCGCTCAACAAGCACGGGCCAAATGTTTCCGACCTGGAAGTCGGCAAGGGCGGAACAAGCGCATGGAATTTGGGTGGTCTAGGTCCAGAGACTACGATTGCCATTTACTTTGACGTTACGAACAATGGCAACAATCCCCTTCCGGATAACAAACGTCGCTACACACAATTTGTGACCAAGTACCAAACGTCTACCGGAAAAACAAGAATTCGCGCTACTACACTCTGTGGAACCTGGTATAATCCACCAGTTCTCAAAGATGGAGCTCCAGCCAACTTCGATGCGCAGAACTCGCCCGTTCGAGCCTCCTTTGATCAGGAGGCGGCAGCAGTCTTGACGGCACGATTGGCCGTCCATCAGACGGATACGGACGAACTTTCTGATGTTCTTAGGTGGCTCGATCGGTCGTTGATTCGCTTGTGTGCTAAGTTTGCTCAGTACAGGCCCGATGATCCATCCAGTTTTAACCTTACACCAGAATTCAGCATGTATCCACAATTTATGTTCCACCTTCGACGATCGCAATTCTTGGATGTGTTCAACTCCAGCCCCGATGAGGCATCTAGGCACCGCTACGATTTGATCCAACAGAATACGACCAACTCTTTGATTATGATCCAACCGACTCTTCTTTCGTACGGGTTCAACGGCCCTCCTACTCCTGTCTTGTTGGACTCCGACAGCGTTCGACCGGACACCATTTTGCTCTTGGACACTTTCTTCCAGGTGGTCGTTTTCCACGGAGAAACGATCGCCGCATGGCGTGAAGAAGGTTATCAAGAGAGGGAAGAGCACGCGGCTTTCCGGCAGCTCTTGGAGGCTCCTCAGGCCGATGCGGGTCTAATTATGGATTCCCGCACACCCGTTCCGCGATTCGTGGTCTGTGATCAGCACAAATCCGAGGCTCGGTTTTTGATGGCCCGACTGAATCCCACCTCTACCCATAATTCCGACCTGGATGGTGGTGGCCAGGGAACTACTGTTTACACAGACGATGTCTCTCTGCGAGTGTTTATGGAGCACTGTAAGTAACGTACTCATCATTTTGCTGGACTTCAAAATATCACCTTGAAATATTCGACGACAATGACCTGACCGGTGTCAAATTTTAAAACTCACAACCCGTTTCACATTTTTTTTCGTGGTTTTCTCAGTAACGAAACTTGCGGTTCAACAGTAAACTCTGCTCGAAACAGAACTAACGATCCAAAAAGAAGCAACCAAGTGGCCTCAGGAGGAAAAGCGACGCGGATCGTTTTGCCATTAGCAGTCAATTCGGGCAGCAGGCGCCTGATTGCACGTGACAGGGTGGAATGAAAACACATGTTAAAAAGAAAAGATTAAGTAATAGGAGTTTTAAAGGCAAACGAATAAATTTCATCGTTTCTAAAATGTAGGAATCATCGATTATTTTAGTTCCAGTCCGTGGATTGAGCATCCCCTACAGAAAACGGTCATCGTATGTTTTGCATTCAATTCTCATTTACGTTGTAGGCATGGCCGTTGTGTTGCTCCTACAATTCGTAAAGTTAAGAAGAGTTTTATAAAATCAATTTTCGAAGGTATCATTATTCATTCTTTAGCCAGAGGGCGAATGTGTTCCTGGTACGGAATATTGTGACGAAGACGTCGTCATCTACTGGTAGTATTAATCAATGAAATCTTTTTGTTAACAATGATAATTTTTCCGTTATCACCACTATCGATGGTGTTTCGTTCGATGCGACAAGCAAAAACAATAATGGTTTTTGTCCCCTTTGCAAAACTAGTAGAGCGTCGCAGCAACGGGACCGTTCGTCTCGTCGCCGCAATCCATCTTACCGCTAGTGTTCTTGTCCTCGTCCTCGTCATTGTCTTCGCTGTCTTCTTCTGCTACGACCTCGCCACCGTTGCCTTCCGACTCGACCTCGGAACCCGCGCTCGGGCTGCCAACCTCGACTTCTTCCGCGGCCGGTGCCAGTTCGACGGGATCTCCTGCATCGCAGGCCAGCTCGCCCGCGGCGGCAGAACGGCGCGGGAGAAACCATCCCAGCGGGGTCCATCGAAGCGGCAAGAGGACCAGGGAGAGCGAGAAGGCCCGCATCCAGCACACGACTCCAAGGAGGCGGCGGTAGAACACCAGGGCAAAGAGGGTCAGAGTGCCGTTAATCAGGGCGCCCAGGCTTTCTCGGGGATTGGCGCAGGATATCTGCCAGGATTCTAGCAAGTACGCCGGAGGTGGGTTGTCTTTCAGAACCTGGGATTCTTGGCTGACCTTTTCGAAATCTCGGAGGTAGGACTTGCAATAATATCCGTACGAGTCGACGAGTCCTTGGTATTTTGCTTCAACGATCGGAACAACCTTCGTGTGGTAGATTTCTTTAACGATTCCAATCCCTTCCATTACCAATGGCATGACGGTTGTTTGGAACCAAACAGAGGCTTGGTGAAGCTTTGGAAAGACGTGCTTATGCAAATGGGGCTCCAGATGGGTCTGGTACTGGCTTGCAACGTGCTCTTGGTAGTGAGGCTCAATGGCCTGCCAGTATTCCTCGACCTGTCCGTGAACGAAATCCTTTGATTTTTCCAGTCCCTTGGAAACGTGCACCATGGCAATGTCGCCCACGACCCCGGCTTGTTCGACGGCCATAGCGTAGACAGCCAATCCGCCATCGTAGAGATCGGTGGAAACGTGCGTCATGTTGCAGTACGAGCGTTCGGCGTGGAGTGCCCTCCAATGCGTGATTTCCTRTCCACGATGTCCATGCCACGGGCGAAAAAGAATAGAAGAGGGGAGCGAGTTGAGAGGGTGAGGAAACAACTACTAGGTCAGGACCGGAGCTGCACCCAGAAGAAATCGGGTGCTCTCCGACACCGGTTCGGGACTCGGTGCTACCATGCGTGCCCTACGCATGAAGCACGCAGCTCGGTGCAATGCGATGCAGTACGTACCGCCGTGGCTTCTTCCATGGATCGTTCGATGGCCGCCTTCTTGTCGAGCATTTGTTCCGTGTATTCTTTGAGCTTCAAGATCTTTTGGTTCTTCTCGGAGAGTCGTTCGTCGTTCTCGCGTTTTGTTTGCTCAAGCTCGGCCGTCTTTTCCCCCATCTTTTTCGCCAGCAACGCCTGGGCTTCGTCCCTGGTCTCTTCGAGGACCCGCGTAAAATGCTGTTCGGCGTCCTGCATTTCCGCCGTCATTTTCGCAATGTTCTCGTCGCGCTCTTCTTCGAGGCGAGCAATGGTGTTCTCGGCCTCCTCCTTGGTGCTCTGCAGGACCTGGGCGGCCTCCCTGATAGCGTGTTCCATTCTGCCGGTCAGCTCCGCGACGGTTTCGTCGCGGTCGGCCGTGATGGCTGCTACCTTGTTTTCCTTGTCGAGTTTGGCCTTTTCCAGTTCCAAACGCATCGTTGCTTGCAATTCTTCGCTGGACATGAGCAGCTTGGCTTCGAGGCCCGCAATTTCATTGTCCTTTTCTGTTTTGAGACTCTGGTATTCGTTGTGCGCCGTTTCTCGGAGCGTTTCCATAGCGTTTGCGGACTCCTCCGTCAGTTCTTCGATGGTGGCATCCTTTTGGGTTCGGAGTGCCTCAAAGGCGGCGTCAAATTCGTTTCTCATCGCCTCAAAGGCAGCGTCCTTTTCGTTTCTCATCGCCTCAAAGGCGGCATCTTTTTCCTCTCGCAACGCCGCGAGCGAGGCGTTCATTTCTCCCCTCAGGGCCTCATATTCCTCGCGGGCCCGGGCCTTTGTTTCTTCCAGCTCGTTGGCGGCCCGGTCCTTTTCTTCCCGGAGGACCTCCTCCGATGCGTCCCGGATCTTCGTCAGCTCGGCCACATCCTTCTCGAGGGAGCTCTTCGTGTGGGCCAGGTCCCGTTCCAGGCCGGCGATCGTGGCCAGGGCCTCACCGTGCTTTGCCTGGGCCTCGTCCTTTTCCTTGCGGGCAACGGCAGCCAGGTCGTTCGCCTGCACCAGTGCCACCGCCAGCTGCCCGTCGCAGGAGGCCGCCTGCTTCGATTCCAGGTCCTGGACGGTTCCCGTGGCGGCATCGTCGACGATCGCCTTGTTCCCGCTGTTGTCGCTCATCAGCTCCCCCAGCTGGGAAAGGATGTTTTTCCCGTAGACCGGGCCCAATGCCAGCAGCAGGAGGACCAGGCACAGCGAGGCCGGTGTGGAAAGACTTCTGTGCATCTTGGTTGTTTCGTAAGGCGTTCTCCACGTGGGTGTGGTTGCGAACAATGAGTGCTTATCGGATGGAACCCCGTGCGACGAGACGAATCCCAAACAATATTATGAGAACAGCAAGGTACTTGGGTATTATCCGGTACCGGTATGTTTTGGGAGAACGGTCCAGAATGGATGTGACTGTTGCCTTTCCCGCACGTTCCAAAACCACGAGTACTCGTACGTACGGCTACGAGGGAAACGAGCACTTCTGCTACGAGTAGTACCGTAGCGTACTCATCACAGTGTCATCGCACCAATCACAGATTTTAAAAAATTCGGTCCTTGGTTTTGAAAAAATAGAAGAATGACCGACCACCATCTTCTATTCTTGTGACCCACATAAAACCTCACAGTACGAGTACCGCATATCGCATCGTTCGATACAACGTACAAAAGCACGGGAAATTCTTTACTACGTACCTAGGATACGGCTACAAGTTACGTACAGGTACTCGTACGTAGCCTACGTACGTACTTCCTGACCACAGTGAGTTCGTACCGGTACTTCTACTTTACTGTATTTTTTTCTCGTCGTGGTACGTACCATACCTACATTCAGACACTACGAGTCATAAGATATCTATCTAGGCTGTACCAACTTTTTCAAACTGAGGGAGAGATTTCTTTTATGATAACCGAAACAGATGGATACTGCAACCATATACCTTCTGCACTAAAAACACAACCTAATCAAACTGTAATAGAGCAATCGATCCAAACCCGGGATGCGATTGTGTTCGTTGYAATTTTTTTCAGATGTAGTATAATATTCGCTTGTCTAATACAATTATTTCGGGTGGAGGGGTTCCATCGAGAGGTGCAAGCCGCGCCTTTCGCCAACCTTGTGGGCGAGGGTGGTTTACCGTGCGGCCGTATTGCACTTTCGGGAACGAGCTCGTCCGGTCCCGCGAGAAATCCGCCACCAATAAGGGCGTCCCAGCACGACCGCGCATTATGCACAATTGTACTTACTGATCCAACCTACTTCGGTCTCCTGGCTCTGACGATTCGGCGACCCCGGCGGGCGTTCGAACGGGGGGCCCCAGAGCCAATGCTAAACCCTCCGTTTTGTTGCGGTGGTGGTGTTTGACCGAAGCCGCCACCACCACCAAATCCACTGGGTTGCGCCGGCGCTGCCGATGCACCAAACGACATAGCTGGAGGAGCACCGGCAGGCGGTTGAGCAGAACCAAAAGTAGGGGCACTATTCCCAAAAGGCTGTGACGGACCGGCGGGTGTCGAACCAAACGGAGCGGGAGCAGGTGCAGAAGACCCAAATCCCATCGGAGCAGATGTCCCAAACGGGGCAGCGGGTGCTGCTGGCGTGGCACCGAATGCAGGAGGGGCTTGGGCAGGCGTAGAAGAGCCAAAATTCATAGTATTGGAAGGCGCGGGCGTAGATCCAAAGCCAGAAGTAGGAGCTGGAACAGAGGCGGAACCAAAAGGGACCGGAGCAGGTGTTGTAGAGCCAAAATTCATAGCGTTGGAAGGCGCAGGCGTAGATCCAAAGCCAGAACTAGTAGCTGGAGCAGGTGTGGAACCAAAGGTAGCAGGAGCAGGTGCATTCGAACCAAATGAAGGTACTGCAACAGCTGGTGCAGGCGCCGGCGTCGAACCAAAGGAAAATGGTGCAGCAGGTGCTGGTGTAGCACCAAAGCTCGGTGCCGGTGCTGGAGTAGACCCGAAGCTAGGCGCCGGTGCTGTAGCAGAACCAAAGCTATTGGTCGGCGGTGCAGCTGGCGCAGGCGTAGACCCGAAGGAAAAAGGTGCCACTGGTGCCGGTGCTGGTGCCGGTGTTGAGCTAGAGCCAAAGCTTGGTGCCGAACTGGGTGCTGGGGCGGCAGCTGCGCTTGATCCAAACCCAGGAGCTTTATCCGATGAAGTCGCCTGGCTGCTCGAGTCTACTGACGGCTTCCCAAAAGTAAACGGCGCCGGAGCTGGAGCGGGTGGCGGTGCTGCAGGTGCCGGGGTAGAACTACCAAATGAAAACTTCGGTGTTGGGGCTGTTTGGATTGATGATGTTGCATCTGAGTCACCTACACTTCGACGCTTTTTCTTTTTGCTATCGCTATCATTGCCATCGGTAGACACGCTCCCAAGTGGAGGGACTGCGGCAATGCTTGATTCGGTCGATGGTTTGGTAGTCGAGCCAAATGTGAATCCAGGAGTTGTGGCTGAGGTTGTGGCGYTTGATGTTGATTCAGAGCTTTTACCAAAACTGAATCCTGAGGCAGGAGCTGGTGCTGCGGACGCAGTTGTCGAAGAGCTGTTGCCGAARGAAAAAGTTGGTACTTTTTGCTGGTTTTCCTTCAACGGAACGCTACCACCGCTGTCTWTTTTCCTCTTTTGGTCAGGTGCTTGCTCGGAAGCTGGAGTTACATTCTTGCTTGCTCCAAAAGAAAACTTTGGGGGTGCCGTGGAACTAGCTCCAGAGTCTGATTTAGAGGAGGGATCTACTGTAGTTGTTTTTGCTGGTGCCGGAGCAGACGAGCTACCAAATTGAAATCCACCCGTTTTTGTGGCTGAAACTGATGGAGATGCTGCTGGGGCGGACGCACTACCAAATTGAAATCCACCCGTTTTTGTTTCTGAAACCGATGGAGACGGTGCAGGGGTCGGCGCACTACCAAATTGAAATCCACCCGCTTTGGCTGTGGGTTTTGCGCTTGGCAAAGAGGGTGATGGGGCAGGCGCACTACCAARCTGGAATCCCCCTGTCGATGTTTTAGAAGTAGACGCCGATGCTGCAGGTTCTGAAGGAGCACCAAACTTAAATCCTCCTGCTTTAGTGGTTGTCACACTTGTATCGGTTGATGCAGATGGAGCGGCAAATTTAAAACCACTGACCACATTTTTTCCACTAATTGCAGCGCTAGATTGAGTAGGTGCAGATGTTGGAAATGAGAATCCGGTGGATTGTATCGAACCACTGGAAGGAGCAGAAGTGGTCGCCCCCTTACCATTCAAAAAGGAGCCGTCGCTGCCAATGGATCCAGGTACGTTGAATTTGGTAGCAGGGACCGAAGGATTTGCATCACTATTTCCAAGACTTGCTTCGCAAGATTCGCATGTATCTCTGTCTTTTTTGTTGTAAACTCCACAATTAGAGCACCGTATCATATTTCCCGGATCCCGCAAGTGCGCAAAATTAGCGAAAAGATTTCCCCACCCTTCAGCTTTCACTTCCTTGGACCTACAGGCTCCACATTTTCTTTTCTTGTTCAATTTGTCATCATAAATCATATTTTGGCAATTTGAATCTTCGTCATCATTTTTGAACCCGCACTCGGGACATTCCCACTTGTCAGGTTTGACTCGCTTTATTGCTTGTTCTGTTTCCTCTTCGTCGTCGTCATCGTCGATCACCGTCCTATCCTTCTTCTTCCCCTCAAATAAAGGTTTTTGTTTAAATTGGGGCGGAGGACTTAGCGGTGACGAAACTGAGGAAATAATGTCTGCTTTTGRMAGATCTAGATCTCCCGAGCACCAGAGCGGTACTCTTTGAGATCCCACAACAGCTTGTGCCCCCGAGAATTCTCGCTCTTGGGCTGTGCTCCAGGCAGTAAAGTCACCACCAACAATTTTTCTCGTGTCTGACATGATTGGGAAGTCGTGAGCTGTTTTTGTTTCGGACTTTTTGGAGGAAGTAGGGCGCTTCGCTTTGCGCAATTCACGTTTTGGTGGCGGCGCAGACGCAGGATTAGCCATCTCTTCATCCTCGCCATCGACATTACCCTTGTTTCCTTCGTCATTCCCGATTCCGAAAGCTGTCGGCTTCTTGTGGTGAGGCGTCGCTTTGCGTTTTGATGCCCTTGCTTTATTTGTATCCTTTGCTGGGGTAGATACAAGACTTTCAATGGGCGCGGTTGATTTCTCATCCTCTCGACCGAAGTTGACTCTCCTCTTTTTTTTCGATACTTCTTTGGTATCCGGCTCGTCGTCTTTATCGTCCCGATCCACACAGTCCATTGCTCGTTTCCCGTTGATTCGAAATTGAGAACTGGTAGTATCGGATCCCAATTGCTGTACCACTCTTCCAGTAACTCCTTGTCGCCCCGCTGGAAGCAGTCGTCTCCCCGGTCTGATCCTTGTGATGGAAGTGCGGAAGTTACTATCAGCTTCGATCATTCGGCTCGAAGGCTCAATAGTAGAACGCGCATTCGACAATAGCTTAGCGATGTCTGCTCTGTTTGGCGGCGCGTTATTTCTCCTTCTGTTTATTGTCAACAGTCTGCTAGGATTATAACCTCTGCGTCTTTGCGGCCGAGCGGCACGAGTAACTTTAGTAGTGGTTGACATGGAAAAATTGTTGTTACGTTTCCCGTAGTTGCTCCCRCGACTGCTCGTATTGCTTCTCGCGTGAAGGTCACCTGCTGAAAATTGTATACCATTGGAAGATCCCTTCCAAGGAGATTTAGCCGGTGCCGCGGATTCCGATGCCGTCGACACAATTTGCTGCTGCGACGCTAGAAGCATGGTGGTGGCTCCAGGGGGCTTGACATCTGACCCGGTAGTGGGAGTTGTAAAATTTGGTTGCTCGGGAGATTGAACGTTGTTGAATCCTTCGAGGTTTTGAAACGGTCTTGGTGATGCTGAAACTCGCTTCTCCCGTTGCTGCAATTTTGACGCCGTAGAGTTTGTACTAGAATCAACGCGGCTTGACTTTTTGCTCGAGAGCCAAGTAGATCCGAACAAAGTTGCCGCCCATCCCATTGTTTTGGGCGGTGTTTTTGGATTGGTGCTGCTGTTCTCGGGGGTAGACGACATAGTGTATTTTTTTCTGTTCCAATCGACGCTTATTGTTGCTATGCTGTGTTCTTGAAATTCTCAGCGTGTCCCATCAATGTGACACGATAGGAAATGGAGACTGCAATGGGTTGGTCGGTTTTTGAATGATTGGACCATAACTTTAGTCCATGGCAAAAGTAAAGGATTTGAGCGGTGCTGCGCGCACGTTTATCGTGATTTTTTTCTACTGTACTTCACGGCACTCGTACTTCGATTGGAAGGTGGTGGCAACCTCTGGCAACTTCGACAGAGTACTCGTAGGGGTACTGTACGTACTGGGTACAGTACTCGTACGAGTACTAGGGGTACTGTACGTACTGGGTACAGTACTCGTACGAGTACTAGGGGTACTGTACGTACTGGGTACAGTACTCGTACTCGTACTTGGTACCGGTATCAGAACAACGAGTGCGGTAATGGCATCGTACATACGGGTTCCTAATACTTACCGTAGGACGAAGCTCGTCGTAGACGATTGCAATGAACGATACCCGGTACTAAAGCATTTTTTGGTCACGGATGAAAATCTTGTTATTATCGATAAACTCGACTAACAAGCAATGGCTCTGCCCAGACACCAGGGGAGACAATCGTTCAAAAGCAAACAGTCACAAAACAGTCATATTATTTAACACATGCGACACGAAGTACGACATTCCAAAAAATCCGTTGCCTTTAAAATCCGTTATTCTTCCTCATTTTTTGGTTCCATGCCAACGATGAACCGTCATCATCTTTTCAGATGGTGTCTTGTCATCGGAAGATGCCATCGCGGGTCTTTCAGTGCAATAGTAAGAAAAAGGGAAAAACATTTCAAACTGAGGTTGTCCATAAAAGATAAAAATAGTAAAACTTTACTCACCGGTCTATCGACACAGAGAGCAATCATATTTGATTCCTAGTAAYTTCCCCTGGGCGATTGAATTCGACATTGAGATTACTTCCTCCTGCACTATCTTTTTCTTTCCTGGCTCGAAGGCAAATAATCCATGATGGGATCAAAATCATCGAAGCCAGTCGTCAAACCTCCAGCAGATTGGGAACGACAGGAAGTCAGAAGACCCTTCGAGGTTATTTCACCTTGCTCCGACATTTCCAACCCTTCAGACTTTAACCGCGTACGATACCATCGAAAATCGCATGAGTATAAGCTTGAACCTCCTCCTCCACCACATCAACGACAGCAGAGCCGAAAAAATGGTGCTGGTGCGAAACAGGGCACTCCTTTCGATCAAAACAAACCGATACCAAGAAGAGTATCGAACAAAAGTAGTGGCAGCAATCCACATAATATTCCCGTAGCCGTAAAAGTAAGAAGAAGCAACAGCACAAGAGGTACTGGCAGTGAGAAAGTTCGTCGCAACAGCAGCAGCACAACAGGAACTAATAGCGGCGGTGACAAGGCGATTGCACCTGGAGCTTTCTACTTCCCAACTAAGGAATCGGAACGACGAGCAGATCGTCTTGCAAAAAGAGAGCTAAGAGCCGACCATCAGGAGATTGCTATCAAGGCTATTACTAGCAACAAGAAAAAAGASAGGAACAAGAGCAGAATGATCACCACAAACATGAACAGGATCATAACCACGAGCATCAAGGAAAACATCAAAAACATTGACATCAAGCAAAAAACGAAGTCTATTCGAAGAGGGGCTCGAAAAGCTGCCAGAAAAATGAAGAAAAAGAAAGACACTTTCACACGAATCGCTATTGCTGTTGCAAATGCATGCTTGGAGGAAACGAAGAATATGCGGCTAGAGGAAGCTATGGCAGCGAACACTAAAACGGATAGCCAGTTGATTGCGTCACAAACCTCGGAAACATATCCTTTGGAAAGAAAGAATTCGGCGTTGATGCGGAGAACTCGCCGTCGTTCGGAAATCATTGCTCCTGGTGACTTGGGAGTTACAACAGGTCGAAAGCAGATCGATTCCCGAACCATAGTTAAGAAGGAAGACGATGAGCAGGTAGATAGCTTTACCAAGGAACAGGAACGCCACCAGAATCAAATGGACCGAGTTACTTCCGTTGCATTGCACCAAGAAGATGTCTACTTCGCTCGTTTGTCCCTTTCTCCTAGTGCACAGCACGGAGCTTCTCCATGCGCGCAGAATGGGGGTAACAATAGAGTAACATCTATTCTTGGTAGCATCAAACCTGGTTTGGAGTCGAGAACTGATGTTGAGACTACACCCGTTGATCATAGACAAAAGTCTGTGGACTCTACCATGGACACTCCCGTGAGTGATCTTTTCAGTGCCAATGGTTCTCTTCCGGATAAGAGGGACGACGATTGCCTGAATGCATCAATCAAGAACAAACAGAATAACTCATCTCCAGTTAGCAGCCTAATGCGTTTCTATACCAAGACTGGACCAATGGAGTCGTCTCCAAAGTCTTACTTCTCCAATGAAGAAGAAAAAACATTTCAGGTTTTCGCTGATGAACATAGCGATTCGAGTAGTGATAGAAAGGGCAAGGATGCGACTATTGGCAGCAGACAAAGTCTAGAGTCCAATAGTTCTCTCTACACAGTTGAATCAATGACTTACAAGAAGGTAGATGGAAAAGACTTGAAGCTTTTAGTCCATGATAATGAAGTTGATTCCGACAGAGAGACGGATACGTTTTCTTCTTACAGTCKGTCCGTAATGAAAACGGTAGAGTCGAAAAAAAGCAGTACCAAGAAGAAATCATCAAAACCTAAAGTAAGCAAATTGGAATCTCTATTCCGACCAATCTTGCCAGCTTTATCGACAGACGATGCACAGAGCCAGTCCAGCTATGATCCGTACGAGATCAAAGTTACCGAATCAGCACCAGGTATCATTCAGGCTGCGAATTACATGTCTCTCGGTGCTAGACGTTCATCGTCCTCGAGTCGTATTAGCGTACAGTCAAGGAAGAAMAATTTTACTTCTGGAAGTCCCTCCATGTCTGTACTATCGATCGATACACAACGTGAACCGTCTCCTACTTTATCGAAAAAAACGGTTTCCAACCAGGCGAATCTCAATTCTGACTTCTTATTCACAGACGATAGTGCCCCGGTAGTGGTCGCTCAGGATCCTAATGAGAGAAATAATTCTGCAACGATTTCCATCTCTACCGCTGGCGCCAGAAGTCGCCTTGCAAACAAATCTACTCAGAAGGGCGTAGCTATTCTTAGGAGGAATGAGGAGACCGAGTTCGATGGTATTAGTGTGGATAATAGCAGTCTGAAAAGTGAAAGACGTGTTCGCTTCTCTAAAGATTCTGTTCGCTTGGTACCCGCCCAAGAACCGGAAAAGTCTGAATTTGAAAACGTTCAATTCGTGTCGAATTTTGTAGGGCGGTCAAATGATGCACATTCACACGAAGAAACCCCAGAAGATGAGCCCGAGAGCAGCAAGAATTTTGGTGAAAGAGTCAATGAGCAGGAACTGAAATCGATTGGAGAAGAACCTTATTTGAGTCTTCAAGATGCTAAGCATGATATTCAGACTGAGATAGAACGGGTCGATTCAGTTGCAGAAAGCATAGATCTTCCAGAAGTGAAAAGTAATATGGCCATCCGCAGAAGCTCGGAAAGCGTTCGAAGCATTCGATCGAATGATTCATTCCCTGAGAGTATCCTAGAAGAAGAAGAAGAAGAAGAGAGGGAAGAAGCCTCGCCAGATTCTGTCCATTGGACTTACAGCAAAAATGGTGTTACTCCATTTGTTCCTGGTCGGTCGGCCGCAAATCCTGCAAAATCCCCCTTTTACCGTTATCAGAATGCCAAAACGAAATTCAACACTCAAGATCTCATCGTGAAGAGTAAGAGTCCCAAAAAGAGCCCTGCCAAAATATTAAGAAAGGGATCCGGTGGTCTCGTTTCCTTAAGAGTCCAGGAACTCAATACAAGGGTTACTGAAGTTCGAAAGTTGAAGCGAATGAGGAAGAAAATGACGAACCCCAGGTTACACACTCACAATTTTGACAACACCCAGCCAGTGAGAAGTCGAGCACTTATGAATTACAAGACAAACTTCAGTGCTGCGGACCTCGAGAAGAGTAATAATATGATGGCTGCAAAATTCAATGTCATTCCAGACGTGGATGATGACGATGACTCTACTTTTTCAGCTGAGCTCATTCCGAATATTGCGTTGGAAAAAGGATCAGAAGATGATGACGYTAGTAGAATGTCAGAAACGACTGGTGTCACATCTATAGCTACCATTCGTCAGCACAGAGATTCGAGTGGCCTCAGTATGAGTAGTCGATCAACGGCTTCGTCCGGACTGAGCAACTTGAAAAAACAGGTGTTCCGTGTGTCAGAAGGAACAAAGAGTCGTACATCTACAAGCGATAGCACGACAATTTCATCCATGATTCAAGAGGAAAATGAAAACTATCTTCCATTTCGTTCGACGTCTAAAGTTGTAAAACCTAATGAGCAGTATCCCGCGGTGCTACATTTGTCGCCAAGTAAAGGTACTCCAGCAATGAAATGGAGGTCATTGGCAGCTAAAGCTGCTGAAATGGATGCTCTCAAAGCAAGCTCTTGCAAGCCTAGAAAAGGCTTGGCTATTCGAAACATGAACCATGGAGAGGCTTTACCTTAGGTACTACAGCATTTAGATGTGTTTGAAATGAAGTTATCRATCTATTTTTTACGATTGGTGTATTCTCTCAACTTGGAGAGCAATAATGCACTCTCTTATTAACGTTTGTGGCTTGACAAAAAAAGCACAATTTATAAAATATTTCTTTTCATGTTCAAATTATTGTGCTTTTGCTTGTTCTTTCATACAATTGACACAGTATCAGTTTGAGTCAGCAATAGTTGGAAGTGTCTCATTGAATGACTAAAACGAACACCAACAACCATGTGGTTCCCTTTAAGTAGCATAATCAAGGAAAATAGTATCTTGAGGAGCCAGGAGTCTTGCCATCTTTGATCCATGAAAAAAGAAAATTGTCACTTGCACTGAATTTCTCTAATTTTACTAGTGATTCACAGATGTTTATTTTTTATTTATTAGATTTCTTACTCCTAGTACTAGTACTAGAACTAGTGCTGGTAACTGGTAACTGGTAGTAAATGTCATATTTTTCATAATATGAGAGAAATCATGCTCAAACCACCACAGAATAGCCAATGCTCCTGTTGGAGCTTGGCATTCCCCCCTGGCTTCAAAGAGCCAGCCATTTTTCTTTCCTGTCTGATTTGCATCACCCATCATGACATGTAAATAGCTGTTAGTAGCGGTGGAAGTTCCCAATCATGGTGGTGGTTACTCAATTTAGTAGAAAACAAGCCTGATTCAGTCACTACTGTGGTGAAATAGCAGGGAACCAAACTGAAAGCTCTTCTATTGCTTGCCTACTAGTAATAGTATAATGGAGCCACTAGTRCTGCTTATTTGTACCTGTAACCTTGCTTGATTCACAAAAAGTATTCCCTCCCCAAAGCGCCACCAGAAAGTGAACACTAACTGACAATGGTCATCATCCTCCCACAATCTACTACTCCCATTTTCAAAATCATCKGAGCCTGTCAGAMACAGAAAAAAGACAGCTGAAGATATTGGTGAAGAAGCTCTGGACAACATGTTTGTGGCTCTGTTTGAAAAGTTATGTGGCAACAAGGGACAAAAGCAGATCAAAACAAAGAACAGTCTGAGTAGGCAACATGATGCTGGCAATATTCTAGGAGGAAATCTGAATCAGTATTCTCCAACCCTTAGCCTAGCTGATGATCATGTGGCAGAAAATCAGCCACTAGTACCTCCAATGGGGGATAAGACTGTTGCAATGTATTTGCTTCAACAGTGTAAAGCCAAATCAGCATTGAGGTTTTTCTGAAAGTATTGTTGATGAAGCAATTTGTTTATTGGCAATCAATTATAGCAAACAATATAGAAACACTGACCACCCATCACTCCCACTTTACGCTCCCACAGACCTGGTGCCCAACTTTCTTAAAGAACTTGTCAAAGTGTTTGATAAGTTTGTCAGCAAAGATGGTCATWATGTAATGGAAGAAGAGCTCCCTGGTAACCTGAATGCTGGCAATGATGATGCTGATAGAGAATCCAAGAATCATATTCAGAGATCAAAATGTAAAAATGTCTTTGGTGTACATACAGAAATTGGGACAGACATTTCACTTGCAAAACATGGTGAAACTGGTATCATTATTCTACCTTTATSTGTGGTACATGCAAGCAAGAACAAGGATCAGTGGTTTCTGAATTTTGATGTTTGTCATCAGCATTGATCTAGCTACATTGATGGCTTTCCTATAGCTGGTTGAGATTTCTGTTGCGGTGCTCAAATTTTACCCATCAAACACCAAAAAAATGACAGAGGGGGAATGACGATAATGGTGAACAATTAGCAGAAGAGTCACAATGGATCACATCCAAATGAAATTATTGCATTTTACYGCCCAGGCATACTAGAATAATTTTGTCTCATTGGATCATTTACCTCCTGCACCAAGGACCCAGTGCCCTGGTGGAACACATTGGTAAACAAGAACAACAATGACTCTGAGGATGATAATAATGACTTCAAGGAGGACGGTGATGATAAGGATGACTACAACAATGAGGATTACGATGTTGATGGTGAATAGGACATGTCCTGCTACAACAACAAGACAGCTAGAACACATAGTAAGAGGAGAAATGGGTATACTAGTAGCTCAGCAGCAATAGGATTTCATCTCATGCAAATGCTACTGAATCAAACCAACCATCTATTATTTATTCAAGGCTGTCAGTAGTAGTATCAAAAAGCAGCTGGTGGTCATGATATGACTACTGCTATGATGTTCTCCTTACTATTATTTGTCCCAGCATCATTCAAATACCTTGGAATCACTTTACACCTCCCCTGTTCAAATAATAGTACTTCACATCCTCAGCCATGTCTGCAATGGCTCCAAAACAATTGATGTTTGAGTGGGATGTCTCCTTGGTTTTTTTGGTGATGGTTTTTGTCAAGAAGAATTAGGATACTAGTAATACCCTACATACTACTACTGCTAATACCACTAAGGCCACCACTAGTACTACCACCACCAGCAGCTAGTAGTATGTAGCATTTGATGTTGTAAGAGCAAGGTATTAGTAGTACCAGCAAGCACCACAACATTCCAGCAATGATGCAAAGACCATAGTGTGCATCATAACATTTGCTATTGTATAGCGTTGGCAGAATTATTCCGGCCAAACCAGTCGTACATTAGGAATGCTAGATATATGTATACGTATATAGATCAATACTTATCAGACGGCATTCTCCCCCATGGCATTAGAAATCTCTTTGAATTCTCTTTTTAACCATGTGCTTATCATACTTGAGCGTCAAGTGAGTTGAACCTCKCTTAATGCCCTACATGTTTTTGTACTGTGCATTGATTTTGGGCCATCTATTTACTGTGTAATGACTCGTGGGATTAAAATTTAACTTGTACAAGGGCTACAGCATGCATGTGCAATTAAAACTATTTGGAAAACTATTTGGTTGCAYGGATGYGGGRTTCAAAAATTCAGCACGTGCCTGCTGTAAACTGCAGTACAAGCCAATTTTTGGTCCCACAAGTCATTACACAGTAATTAGATGGCCCAAAAGGTATGACTGAATTGTACATGTGACTGCCAACGCTATGATAAACAAAAGGGGCAGCACTATGAAGTGGTACAGCTGGATGCAATGGCAAGAAACCCTTCATTCTTTTTCCTTTATCTTAGGTTACAGTCATGGTGCTAGTAGTATGCTTCTTTAAGAATTTGTATTGTCGCCCCACCAGTAGACTACTACTAGTACTTGTGTAGTATAGTACTCAACAACAATACCAACACTACTAGCAATTCAAGATAAGAAGAAAAACAAGACTGTCCYTWTCCCAGGGGATCCTCATCAGCATGATAGTATTGCTGATTATTCCAATTGAAAGTAGACAAGGAGTGGGAGTAGCAGAGCTTCTCTTCAATGGACTCATCATTCAAGAGCAGCAGGGGAGCTGACTGCTGCACTRACAAGACTGGCAGCCGCACAGCAATGTTGGTGGCTGTTCCAAGTCAAACAAGCAGGAGGTAGTACTACTAGTAGTAGTACTAGTACTACTACTAACAACCTTGCCATAGTAGTAGTAGTATAATTACAAACATACTGAAGTACTAGGCACCATGAACCACTGACTGAAAACTCAACTGCTTAGTAGTTAAAATACTAGTAGTACTAGTATCCAAACCTTTAGGACCTCCTCCTTTAAAGCAAAGCATAGAGACCATCATTGGAAGATTCAAATACTATGATCTGATACCATTAGCATACAAGCAATAGAATCCCTCAGCATTGCAAGACAAAGAAGAAAGCTGAATGGTGTACTTAGTACTAGCTAGTAGTAGCCACCACTAGGATGGGCCACCTCCTCCACGAAACCAGCTCTGTTTCCAAAACTATTGAATTCAAATCCTCAGCACAGGGCCCTCCATTAGTTTTTAAGGAAGACACCAGTTGCCAACCAAGATCAGGGTTTCTCATAGGTTTTTTCCATGTTTAAAGAAAGAGAAACAAAGAGAGAATTACTCAGGCAATATTATCTTTGTTTCTCTTTGTAAAAAAATTGAAAAATCAAAGAGAAACAACAAGGAGAAACAATATTCTCTTTGTTTCTCTTGTTTGTTTAAACGTAAAGAAACAAAGAAAATATTGATCAGGCAGTGGTGTTTTCTGGTCATCATTGTTGTTACTTCTACCATTTGTTGTGGACAGGAACAACAACAACCCCAGCCCCCAGTATTTAACCCCATATCTAGATCTTGTTGATCTATCCTCAGTTTCTTCTCCAAGAAGATGCTCCACAACCAGTTGCTCCTTTGGGTGGGSTTGCAGGGCTCAGCTGTGATTTAAAAGAAGTGTGTCAGTTTTCTTTTTTCTTTTGGATTTTCTTTTTGATTTTTTCTTACTACTCCACTACATCATGTGTCCTTGCCCACTGGGATCTGACTTTCCTTAATCAGCTTGGCAGTGTGCTTGGCACATATTTCCTTGATCACTGCGTGTGGTAGCTTGCCTTTGGGCTTGGGAGTGGTGCCTTTTGACATGATAATGGCATGGCTAACATCCATCCAATTGTGAACCAACTCCTTTTTATGTCCTCTGAATCCAGTGACCTGCCTTCATTGGCTTGTCAGTGTGCATAGAACTTGGTTGTACCTCCACAATGCTGCCCCTTGGAGCAGCTGGTGGGAGCCTTCTTCTCCCTAGTCCAGAGAGGCTCTGGTTTTGGCCATATAGTTCTTCTTCTAGTTTGCAAGGTTAAATATAATATTAAGATTTTTTTTATGAGGAGCCATGGGATGGTCAGAGGCTATCACCACATGATAAGGTACACTTATCACATATAGGACTTTTTGGTCTTCAAGAGGATGTTGGGGCTCCTCTTGTCTCTTAGCAAGCTCATGCATCCTCCACAACAGAAGAATGTTGATACTTCTTGTGTTACTACTATTCACTAGAGGGCTGCACATGACAGCCATGATCATGGTTAGCACACTCCTCTTCTTCAGTGATGCRTTGTTTGGTTTTCCTCATCTTTGTTGAATGTGTTCTGCCTTGTGTTGCATGTATTCTGTTCTTCTTGTTGAGGGGAAGAAGTAAAGATATGCTGCATTTTATTTAAAGACAAAGAAGGAAGATTTAAATTTTCAGTTTGGTGCCAAGTGACTCCTGCTGTCGTCTTTAGTAGTGTGCACCTGCTCACAAGACTGAATATGGTCAGTCAAGGATTCCACTAAAAAATATGCAAAGATCCTTTCTGCTTGGTGGTGGAACCTTCTTTCTACATGTTGCACTTGCTGTTCATTGCAGTGAGTTCTCATCAGGGCTSGACTCTAATCTCTGAGGTGGTTTGGATTGTCTTCGGCTGGAGATTGCTGCAGATGCTGGTGTTTCCTGACCAGTACGGAGAAGGATGTCCAGGTAATCCAAGAAGGCGCAACTGTATTTATACCTGGTGGTAGAATCAGTTTGTTTGAAGTGATCACAGTGAAGTAGTTCTTCAAGTGATTTGCCGAGCATGACAATCTTGTCAGTTGCTGGTAATGCAGTTGTATGGATATTACTGAGACATTGTAGGAAGTGAAATGCTGTAGGGTTGTAGAGGGGTTTGAAGAGGAAGAGGGGACCATCATATCTTCAAGGTGGAGGTTATAGGAAAGGCCAGTTCTAGTGCCTGGATCTCATGTTGGATGGATCCATTGTAGAACAGAAGCTCCAATCGATAGCGTTCTTGTGATTCTGTAAGGTCTCCTCTACTAGTACTACATGGGGATCAGACAAGGAAGTCACAAATTTGTGGTGGATTTTTGGKTGTTCCTTGTTGTTTCTTTGACAGTTTTGTTTGGATATTGCCATGGTGGAAATTATGTGTTGCCTGCTGTATCTAATGGAACACCACTTTGGACTTTGACAGGATAGGTGTCACCATGTGTTTGGGGTGTTCTGAAGAAAAATAGTACTGTAGAAATCTACATTATTTAGTACTGTGTTCTCTTTGTCATCGAGATTTTCTGGAAAAAATCTCCAGAAAATACTCAAGTTGGAAAGAGTTCTGCAAGGTACAAAGAAGTCTCTGCGACTAGAGGAAAGCAATTAGTAGTAGTAAATCAATCTACTCGGGTCKTGTTGACTAATGGTGGTTGAGGATGAGGAACAAGTTGAGGTAGTATGTTCCTTCTTGTTGTTGCTCATAACCTATGAAGTGTTGGTATGCTCTCTAGTAGTGTTGTATGAATACATRTTTACAATAAAGAGTGAGGTTATTCACTAGCTACAAGTACTCAGGATTGCGTTTCTGTGGTGTTTAATGTCTCACAAAGTAGATCCTGCTGGTTGCCGTGGGTTCACTGGTATGTCAAAAGAGCCAGCCGGTCAAAAAAGACATATTTCATGTTTTAGGAAATGACCCAATGATTGATAAAACTATTTTTGCTACAGAAAGTTCTTCGTGATGCCCTACCGTACCGTATTATTAATCGGCGAAGGTACGAATTTGAAAACTAGAAGGAAACGGCACGTCGGCAGGCGCAGAGAGAATCTAGTTCATTTCACCGAACAAATCAGAAGGCAATAATTTGTTTTTTTTCAGCGATAAAATCTTCTGTGGACCAGTTCAACGGGCATTTTGAAGATTTTRATGACCGATTCATACAGTACGACGTTCTTTTGGAAAACCCTCAAAATTACTCTTAATTACTGCGTCATTTTCGGTACCGGTTCGTACGGTATGGTACATTGAATTACAGAGCGAAACGAATTTTTCAAGGTGCGAGAAAATCATTTCTGTTGTTGTTGATCAAGTAATCAAGTAAGAGTAGCGTTCGGCTGTACTACGTACCTCGCACGATAGTTTGACTACTGGAAAAAAAGCTCATCGGATTGTTCATAACTACTATCCCTCAATTTTAGATGACCGAAGACGAGGTGCCAACGAATACTACGAACATTGTCATGGGTAACTGTCTTGGAGCTTCCGACGAACCACCAGCACCGGAACCAGCACCCCGTTCCAAGGGCTCTGGAAGTGGTTCGAAACCGGTGAGAAATTAATACTTTCAAGAAGATTCATTCATTTGTACTTGAATTAACTTGATCGGTTTCAAAAATAGAACGGACCAACCAATCTCATCTCATCTCATCTCATCACGTCGTATCGTATCCGATCTGGTTGTCAATATTTATCTTTTCTTCTCTCCATTCTACATGTTTAGTCGTCGGGTAGTAAATCAAAATCCAAGAAGAAATCCTCCTCTGATGGATTAGTGGAGGGGTCGTCCACCGGAAAACACTTCAGCGAAGTCTACAAGCTTGGAAAGCAGGTGCGTTACGGTAGATCGAAAAATGGGTGTTGCGTTCCGGGATGAATGAATGATTCTACTCCCAAATATGCGACAACATGTCAAACAATAGTCTGAGCATTTGAGACAGTTTTTCCCCAAACAATAACTCACCACCCGTGCCTGTTGCCGTTACGTATTGATCCATATTGTTTTATCTGTTTTGACATTGTTGATCTTAATGAATAACTTCTGCGCTTCGTCCTTGTTTCAAACGCGTCTTTTTATGATCATCAAATCTCCCATGTGTCATCGATTTTGGCCTTTGAATTTTCGTTGTGTTGAATAAAATGCAAAATATGAAATCATAGCTCGGAGAAGGTGCCTTTTCTGTCGTCAAGGAAGGACAGAACCGCCAGTCGCAAAAATCATTTGCGATCAAGATTGTTACAAAGGCAAAGCTTTCAAAGGAAGACGAAGTCGCGCTCAAAGATGAGATCGACGTGCTAAAGGATATGGAACATAAGCACATTATCCGTCTGTACGATGTATTCGAGGAACCTCACCACTATTACTTGGTAACCGAAAAGATGGGTGGTGGCGAACTTTTTGATCGAATCGTTCAAAAATCCTACTATAATGAAAAGGAAGCTCGTGACACGTGCTTGATTCTGTTATCTGCCATTCACTACTGTCACGACCAGAAGGTCGCTCATCGTGATTTGAAGCCGGAGAACTTGTTGTTGACTGTGAGTGTGAAAAGTCGACGACTATTGGAAATCATCTCTGTTTTTCTTCTGGGATCTCAATTTAATATTCTCGGTTTCTTTTGTCGTCGTTTGATAAATGCCTTTGCGATTGGAATTTTTCGAATTGAGTAGAGTGAAAAGGATGATTCATCTATTAAGATCGCAGATTTCGGTTTTGCTAAGAGGGTGAAAACACCCAAATCTTTGACAACTCAGTGTGGAACGGTAAGCCAAAAACATATGAATTCTRTTTCCTCCCGTCTTTTTTGGGTTTCACAGTGAATACAAAACACGGCTCGATTTTACTTGTTGCTTAAGTACTAACTTGGCATTTTTTTGGGTGCATCACGAACTACTTTGATGACGCTGCCGAAACCGGAATTCGGGAAACTCGGAACCGCATTTGAAAAAYTGAAACCGAAAAACAGCCTGGATACGTAGCGGCTGAAATTCTAGAAGGACAGCCCTACGACACTCAGGCAGACATGTGGTCTATCGGTGTGATTGTATACATTCTTCTCGGAGGTTACCCGCCCTTCATCGAATCAAATCAACGGACGCTCTTCCGTAAGATCCGAAAGGGACAGTACGAATTCCATGAGGAGTACTGGGGACAAGTTTCCGAGGACGCGAAGGATTTGATTCGTAGTTTGCTGACTGTGAACCCTGACAAACGTCTCAGTGCGACAAAGGCGCTTTCGAACAAATGGATTGGTGCCGATGCTTCTACGCTTGCCAGTATGGATCTTGGAACCAATCTTGAGAAGTTCAAGCAGTTCAATGCCAAGCGCAAATTCAAAGCCGCAGTCAGCACCGTCATGGCGGCTAACAAAATGCAGTCGCTTGGGATCAATTTCAAACAAAATCTGGATTAAGAGGTGTACTGTGCATTGCGTTATTATTAATGGTTTTTTAGTCAGGGATTGAATATGGTGCATCACAGAAACTGATCCATGCGACACACATTACGGGAGAACCCCGGGAATCGCAGTGAATAACATTATTGTCATGTTTACGTCTTCACAGAAGCGTAAGCGTAGTTATAATGTCTAGTAATACTTGTTAGATAAAATGAKATGCGTTCGTTCTACTTTTTTGATACCCGCCGAATTTGATGTTGCCTTTCACCAMCTGATAATTTCGGATCCTATTGGTTAGTGCTTTGCGTCGGAACATGAGAACTCGAGTTTTCATATCGCTTTGGCACGGCTCCAAACATGAATTTACTCCTTAAATCGTACTCTACCGATGTTCTCACACCAACCATCTCATCACCCTAGAGCACTTGTGCCTTACAAGAGACCATTGCTTGCCATAAAGCCCGCCACCAATGCGACCAACACCACCAACACACCTCCTGCGAGCTTCAGGGCTTGTTCCAGGCCACTCCCCCGCTCGGCTACAGTTTCGTCCTGGATAGGGGAGGAGAGAAATCCGCYGTAATATTCCTTGGTCCCGACCTCTACGACTTCTTCGTCGCTGATCTTCTCGGCGTCTGGTTGTTGATTGTCGAGGAGCTGGGTGACACGCACATGGTTCCCGATTGAGAAGGTGGTGRTGGCTGCTGAAACGCTCTTTGTTCCTATGTATTGGATCCGGTGAATCCGGGTGGACCGACTGCTTCCCGATGCCTCAATATGGCCTAGACTAGGCATGCAAAGCAGAGGGTGTTGAAAGGCATCTATTCCCGGAACCGATTGCACGTACAAAGCAATGATTCCGCAGGCGAAGCAAAACGACAAGCCATGCTTCATCATTTTTGTTTATGAATGAATTGTGTATCTTTGGAATTGCAGATTTCGCCTTTATTTTCTTTACTGTACCTATGACTTTTCCTTTTCGGTGGCTATCTTTCTTTTCAACTCTCGTATTTGCCTTCTACTGGGGGKTGATAGAATGAATTATTAACATTCAACATCATCATCGTGACCAGTGATGACGATGATGATTATTCCCTCATTCTTTGTCTCGAGAAGACTTCAAACAAAATACTTCTACAAAATAAACCAATAATTCGACTCCTTMGACTCATTTTTCATCAGAGATCCGTACTAGAGCAAAAAAATGCGCGATCGAAGAGCCGCAACAACGAGCGCAAGTTTTCTAGTTTCAAGATGGCATTTTTTAACTCGTTCGTCTTCATCCACCGACACAAACAAAACATCCCAACGACTCGTGCCGTGTACCGTACTGTTCCAYAACGAAAAAAGTATTACTCGTAACACACGGTGAGAGTTCCATTCAACTTCTTGGTTTTGCCGTTCTCCTCCGCTCTTTAACTCTACAGCAGCAATCACTCGAAACTAGAAGGATTGCCTGCATCTGTCTGCAAAGTCCGATCGCAATTGATAAATTGAGATTGATTCATTTCGCAACCACAGGTCAACAACAATCGCAACCAAGGAGAAACGAATAAGCAAAAATGAGTTCTGTAGACTCCGGAGATCTTCCTCCCGCTTCCAATGAGGACGATATCGCTCCGAGCGGCGGCGAGGCTGGTTCCACGAGCCCYGTTCCCGAAGTCCAGGGAGGCGAGGCCACCGAGAAAAGCGCGCCGGCAACCGCAACCTCGAACGATACAACAGCGGCCTCCACGACGCCGAAAAAACCAACAAAGAGCGGCAGCCAGCCATCGGCGAACGGGGGCCCCCCGTCCGCCATCGAGTTTGAACCCCCCGTAGCTTGCGTCCGGAGGATCCTAAAGAAGACCCTTCCCTCGTCGAGCAACGTTGGAAAGGATGCCGTGGCGGCCTTTKCCCGCGCCAGCGGTATTTTCATCATTTATCTGACGGCTTGTGCCAACGATTTCGCTAGAGAAAACCGGCGGCAAACCATCACGGCCAACGACGTTCTAGCGGCCATCAAGGTGGGTAGATGATTGTTGTTGTTTCCTCTGATTCCCACCCGAAATCCTTGTGCCGTTGGTCAGGGGGGCAAATGGATCGATTGGTCTGTTGCAAGTCAGATTCTCGGAACTGCCTTCCAATTATTTCTGTGAGGAGAACCCTCGGGAATCACTCACCATGCTCGCACTCACTTGCTTTGCTACATTTCCTTCGCCTCTCGCAAACGATCCGCAACCTYAACTCTAGGAACTCGAATTCGAAGAATTTGCTCCCGAACTGACCACCTTTTTGGAACGTTATCGCGAGCTGGAAAAGAACAAGAAGAATGCCAAACTAGCATCMAAGGCAGCCGCCGAGAAAGAAAAATCCTTGTTGAACAACGATGATGCTAGCAAGGAAGATGTCGCTGCCAGGGACGGTGCAAAGAAATCCGGTGACGAAAAGGACGAATCTTCCAAGCCAGAAGAAGAGGAGGAGTCTACAACGACAGCCCAGCAACCAAACGATGCCGATGCCGGCGACAACGATGTGTCGATGGATCCTGAAGACGAGGACGAAGATATCGGGGGAAACAAAAACGACGACGACGACGACGACGACGCAGCCACTAGTGGTACTGGTAATGACAATGGGGGAGATGCAGAAACCGACAAGGCGGAGGAGGATGCCAATGCAATGGAAGAGTAGAGCAATTCGATCGCGGAACGATTTCACAATTGCATCATGATACGCTAGAAAAGGAGTTGTAGTTTAAGAAACTAGGGAGATTGCATAGCAAACATTATATTTCTACGAGACTTGGTTGTCTTGAATGGATAGGAACAAAGGCAAAAGTTGCTTTGCTTTGCTACCATCTCTCGTGTACTCTACTATCTGTCTCTACGCCGCTCCTTCGATAACTCTAATAGAGCCGATTGCAAGAATGGATGTCGTTTCTCARACACGATGATCTATATTTCTCAAAACTCTTATGGAGCCGATTGCAAGTATGGATGTCGCTTCTCAAACACGATGATCTATATTTCTCAAAAAGAGATGATTACAATTTAATATGGATACTATCTTAAAGAAAAGAATTAGGTAGATATCTTATAAAGAAGTGTGCTCTTATGATGCAAAGTTGCGTTGAACTTTWATTAAAAGGGCTGTTTGCGGACCGACCGTTCAAGTAGGAAAAAAAGATGATCGTGAGTGAGTGACACGCAAGAGGGAACCCGATGAACAACGAATCGGTTTTCCCAGCAGTCCAAAGGCATCGCAAATCAATAAAAATGTACAGGCTACGGTTATATCCCATCACGTAATAGCACCAGGGCGCTCGTCAAGGATTGGGAATGTAGCTTCGACATGGGTGGACAAGCGACAGGACGAACCCGTCAAGCTCGTAACAACACCCCGCCACGTTATCTAGAGCTTTCTGCTATCGCTTATACCTCAGAAAATCCATCTCGAGAGACAGTCAGTGCGAGAGAAGCAAGTGACACCGCAAACATGCGTACCAACTGTGTAAAGGTACGCGCGCGGGCCGAGCTCGTGTGAACGACACGACACGACACAACACAAGACGACAAACAAGTTGAACGAAACTTCGATGCATTTTGTTACGTACCTCGTCTATTTGTAAGATCATTCTAGCATGTACGTCTTCGGTTGATAAAGCTTTCGCTTCCAGCGCGGGATCATCTGCCGTGATATGCCAGGTATCGCTTGTTCAAAAAGTTCCTTCTCGCTGTGCTTTCCATCTTCCCATACTGCTTCGTACATTCCTACAAGATGGAGACGCGAATCTAGAATCCCRAGCTTTCGCAGGACTTTGTTGTTGAAGGATTTYTGTTCCCTGGTTGGGACCATCGCTCCAATAGCGGGGGCCAGAAAGGAGTCTTCAAGTAAGATCATCTTTTGAGTAACMTYGCGCAATTCTTCCGACTGCGTTGCCAATTCCGAAATCGCGGCGGAGCGGASSGACTCTGGAAGTTCGGTGTTGCAGGCCGTCCGGGCGCTGTCCGAAATGCTCCTGCCGAGTCGAGCGACAGTCTTGCGATCGCCTTCCAATACGTCCATCGCGGACGAGAAGGCTCTCTCCAACCCAGGCTTGTTCATGCTGTTGTTGGTAAGTTTCTCGCGCATCCACGGAAAGAAGAGGGTGGCTTCGATCTTGTGCAATCCCATGAGATTGAACCCCACAACGTAGTCGCTCGCATCCCTGAGGACGTCGGCGTTCTTCGGGTCTGTCCGCATGGCAAGGCGGTGGAGTCGTCTTGCATCTCGCAYCAGGCTCTTGGTGTGCCATCGCCATCCCTGGATTTCAAAACGTTTCAAAAGCAAAGACACTTGGCCCTTGCTGGCAAGATAGCGGGAAATCTCATCTTCGTAGGGTGTCCCTGGTGTCTTCGTTGAGGCTGCGTGCTCGCTCGCGGTGATTTCGCCACCCCGTTGCAAGAATAAGAGCCGGCGTGCGCAGCCACCATGTTTCCTTGCCTTGGGTGAAGTCGTTGTTCTCGCCGCGGGGATTGATGCAATTCCTGTTGCAGTGCAGGTCGTTCTAGTCCATCTGTAGTCGCTGGGAAACGCAAGGACAGTCCATGCCAAATAGGCTGCAATCGCGAGTAATCGAACAAAACTCACTCTCCACCGGCTACAGGGGGCAAMCTTGACCATTGCTAAAGAAGACAAACGAAATAGGAACAGACTCTTTGATATCCTTCGAGTATCATATCATTATTCCGTGTGGAATGGWGTCTGTGTAACGTTGTAGAAARGTGTKAGAGAATGCAKTGCGTAACCTGAAGATTTCTGTTCAAGCTGCGGGACTTACCATTACCTCCAATCATCATGGCGGAAACSCGGTATTCTGATTAGAACAATGAGTTAGGCAGGCCATCTTTTTGCTGAGTTGTCAGCGGAAACGAACCGTCCCCRTCAAAAAAGGGAATCATGCGCGATTTGTGAGCCCAACGTGGAGGTCAAAATCCAAAAGGAAATTTTCAAGTTTCCCAACGATCGTCTCCGAGTTTCGATGTCTGGCCCTCGCATCAATAAAATTGCATCCTTTTTACAAAAATACTTAATCGTCTGCTTGGGTGGTCGCTGGCTGAAGAAAGTCCAACCTTCGTACGGTACCAAGTACTGTAAGGGATTGTACCAWTGCCGGTTTGAGACGCCCGTCGTAGAGGGCAATACAGTACAGCAGAGTTTTGACAGTTTGCGAACATACGTTGTTCTTGAAGTCCACTACGTACATACGTACGTACGGTACTGTGTGGTTGTTGCTCGTATGTTGCGATTCGTAGAGTACAGTATCTTAAGGGACGTACGTACGTACGTCGATCAACGATTTAACTCTTGACAACTTACGGTACTGTACGGTACGGTACTACTACCGGCCGGTACCAGTACCGGTACGGGTTTTGGATTTGAACACTTGTACAATTACGTTCAGACATGCTGTAAGTAGCCCAGACATCAAGTACTGTAATACATGTCAAGTTCACAATTCAGCCAATCATAACGAATCATAACGAAGAACGGATCATTGGCGTCACYTCATTGTGTAAGATAATTGCGAGTCGTGCTCTTCTTTTTCGTGTTTGTCTTGTTCTTTTTTCCACACTACCGGTACTTTTTCTTTTCGTTCTCAGGCGTACCTTTGAACACACATCAAGATTTGCATTTCTTCTGTTTTTGAAATTTTGTTCCTTACAAAACACACTAACATTAGTTCTTTTCTGTACTTGATGTTTGCGTCTATGCATCCCGACTCTTTCCTAACGACCTTTATTCGAATGATMACTCTAACCGGGCGAACCAACCATGACGATATCTACTTCAAGACTTTTCTACATGGTTCCCGAGTCGCAATCAGAATCAGAATTAGAACAGGAAGAAAATGATTCATTTTGCGACGACGACGACGACGACGGCGATGGCGATAACGCTGTCGATAATGACAACGAAGGAAACCAGCAGCATCAACACTGTCAACCAASTCTTATTGATATCGATATGCATCCCTATGTTTCTTGTCTCTCAAGTCTTCACGAACACGACTGCCTCGTCGTTGTTTTAGGCTTCCTCGCTTTTCAAGACTTGAATAATTTCTCGCTTGTTTCGAAACAATGCTATAAYGCTCGATCCCATGAAACCCTAGACCAAACTCGAGAGGGATCTATCTATCTCGGGAAGGGCATACAGAGCATTGATGAATTGGTACAAAAGATCCGACAAAAGGGATGGGACAAGCACTTCGAGGGCAATCGGACGCATCTTCATTTGTCGGGCCTGAATTCTTTGTCCTCAAACATTGAGAGCATCGACGGGGAATTCATAGAGAATTTCCCCCCACTCGAGCACGTTAAAAGTCTAGACTGTTCGACGTTTCACSTGCACTGCCGGAGTTATAGAAATAGAATCAGAGGGAACAATAGGAATACCAATTGCCAAATAAAGAGCGGTAGCGACCATGAGTCGCCGTCATCCGAGGCAACCGATGAAACTCTGATCACCCACGACGATTCCAATAGCAGACCATTTCCACCGTCACCAACGTCCTGGTTGTTTCCATACCGGGATTATATCGACAAGGGATTCGCGCACGGACTTGTCTTAAGTTTATTGGTACCGAACCTTCGAGAGATCGATATGTCCAATTTACCTTTGACCTCAATCGGTGTTGCATGGATTGCCGAAAACAACCCCAAATTGGAAGTCCTTACCTGGAACGGATCTCTCATTTGGCCCATCAACGAAGATATTATGCGGGCCTGCCTGAAYCTCAAGGAACTGTACATTGACGATGCACGGCTATTGTTTGACCACAACAGTCGTCGACAACGAAGTAGACGACTACTACAAATCGGCGATAGGAATTCTAACGAGACAGACAATCACGAAATTGCGGACGAGAACAACAACAACAGCAATAATTATGACACGGAAGCCATCTTGTCCTCCATGGCGCAAAATTTTCAGTCCTTGGTTCGAGTAAGCTGTCGCAGAATTCAATGGTACAACGAAAATAGCAGATTCACGAACATTAGAGAAACCAAGCAGGGACAGGCATCCTTGATGAGGTTTGTGCGATTAGCASCAAATCTCAAGTGGTTTCGGAGTGATCTAACGATTGAGAACATTGCAATAYTGAAGGAAGAACGACCCGATGTTATTTTTTGTTGTTGAGATGGTTTTTCGAAGGAACACCTACTTCATTTTTATTTAAGGATGCTTTGTGAAAGATCAAAGGAGAGGAAATGTATAAGGAATAAATTTTCCCCCCTGCCGACACGAGATGAACTGCGAATGGACTACAATAGCTATCAGGTAAAACTGCCTGCTAATACATCGAAAGGTTTCATTATCTTAATGTATCCAGTAATTTTTTGATTCGTTTCCTACGATGATATATTCACCAATGCCTTCCGCCCATGTTGCTCAAGTTTAGTCTAGCTCTTGTGCGTTGAATACGTAAAAGAAACCGTTGCTGAATTGTGGGAGATTCATGCTGTACACTGGCATGGCAAGGGGCTGTCGAAAGGGGTTGATACAGAGAGATTCCCGACTTTCTGCTCCTCCCAGACCCGCACAATGAACGCCACTGTACTCGTTGTAATCGGTGAAGACACCTACTACGCCCTTGTTATGGGAAAGAAAATCTACTACGCTCCGCCAGCTTTCGTAGGCATAGAGGCCTGCGTTCATGGCAATCACCATGTCGGGTGGACCCGATCCACAATCGAAATTAGGATCCAAAATCGTAGCACTTTTTGACTTGTTTATAGTAGAAGAACAAGAATCGTTCTTCCTTTCTCCCCCATAGGTACCACCAACCACTCCAACCGTTAAGTTGCTTGTCATTTCGACTCTCAACAAAAAACGATCGTCGTCATCTTTATCGCTTCTTGAATTTATCGTCCTGCATTTTGTCGGAAGCATGTCTTCCCGGGCTATAAAAATCAGCTCGACCTATTTATTCAGTACAGTACACAATAGAAGCGCACCAAACCAAAAAGAAACCATCAGTGCCCATCAAAGCATAGAAGTTGATTGTAACAGAGTCTTTCTCGTGGTTTTGTTCATCTGCAACTTATTTCTTACCTTCAACTCTTCGGGCAAGAGAAAMCCTAATTCTTGAAATAGATCCAAAAAATTCAGTTCCTTTTCGGTTCCCACGACATGGATACGTAGTGGGCGCTGTAACATACGCGCTACGGTCACGGGTACATCTCCAAATTCAGTGATAGCATGGTATATAGTAAGGGGAAAAGTACACAATAGAGCCACCGGACTTTCAGGAGGAATGTTGCGAAGGCGGTAGTAATCTTCCCAACTGGTTAGCCTCCACAGACCAACCGTATTTTTGCTGTTCTCTCTCTCTAGCAGTCCCGCTCGTTCATAGTCTTCACTGCAGACTCTCTGTGGTGGCGGAAGTTGATTCCAGGGGATGGGAGCGAATCCTTCTTCGAAGGAACTTCGAAGCGTAATGTCCACTTGTCGGGCGCTGATACTGTCACCGCCAGCCCATCCATCTGTTTCAGTCGACCACCAAGAAGAGAATGACGAAGAAGAATCATCATTTTCAGTTTCATTATCAGAATCGTTMATTGAGTTCATTGTTTGCTTAATCATCAATCTGGATGTCAAAAACTTCCTGTACGGCTCTTCTGACAACTGGAATTCCCGAGTTGTCAGTGGTGCTTGCCACTCCGGATCAAGATAGTCAAAGGCGGATAATTCCTCTCGATGTGCCACATATGTCTTCCAGGTACGGCACTGACATGAATGAGACCATCCTACTTCACGGCAGTTGAGAGGAGGAGGGCAAAAATAGGCTCCACCGCAGCCTTCGCAGAGGTGATTGGTAGGTCTTCTACAATGCAAACAAAGAGGACTTTTTGCTGCTACAGAGAATTCGATTGAGCTTCTTTCTTCATTCTTTTTCATAACATTATYAAAGTTGTGGCCATAAACGCTGTCATCGCTTTTTGAATCGTTATCGTCGTCATCTTTGTTGTTCTCTTCGGTATTCATGACTTCTGCCATTCGTGCAACGACAGCGGCGTCATGGTAATTTTGTTCGGCTGCATTTTTTATCCATTCTGGTGCAGCCMCAATATCTTCCTTTGTGATTCGGTATTTCCTGCTACTTTCATCAATAAGACCTACCGCTAATTCAATTTGAATCTTTGGTCTAAGATCGGGAGAAACTTCGCAAGGCCCCCAAATGTCTTCTATCGTCACATCGGACCATCTAGGTCGTCCCGAAGGATTTGACCGTGCAATCACAACATTCCCATAGAATCGAAGCTTCATTAAACCACAAGCCATCGCCAATCGTGTGGCCCGAATATTAGGAGTCGCCAATTCTTGCCTTAGATTCGGTGTCCCGGAGCTTGTGAAATAGGCGTAGAGACCAGGGGAATCACCCAGCGGCCGCAAAAGCGGAACTTCTATTCGATCATCAATCTCAGAAAGTTCGCTGTTTGCTATTTCCTCATCTCTCTCACCATTATGTAGCAGTGACAATATTCGATGGTGCAATTTGGATGCAAATGGGCCACTGTTGACGTTACRCTTTTCATCCCATGAGATGCTCTGGGTCTGGAGAGATTTCGACGCATCAGACGGTATCAATRCGATCGAAATGGACATTGTCTCCTGGCGCCTTTTCAAATGAATTCGTGGAGTTTGATCAAGTGTTCATGAATCGACCTCATCAATTTCATCGAATCAATCATATGAAAGCTGCGCAAACATTGTGATCACTAGTAGCTCTTAGTTTCAAAGCGAAATGTAAGAAAAATGACTAGAGAAAAGGCTGAGACTGAAGAAGTAACGGTGATGTGATCAAAAAATGCGGGTAGGCTTAAATTTTTTGTTGTTTGATGTTTTTAATAGAGGTCACTAGATGAGTTCATGGCTCAAATTTGTTGAGTATTGGGAACGACATACAGACGAAAGACAATAACCAGACAAAAGGTTACCTTGGAAATTGCAGTACCCACAAATACAATAGCCTTTACACCTCTACAAGCCTTGGCCTCATTCTCGAAAGTATTGCGGTGAAGGACTGCCACGGTAGCATGAGACATGATGTGAAAGAAGAAGATTCACCCCAACACATCAAGCTTATYRTCACCACAGCACAAGTTTCAATACACACACSAAGATAATCTGGTGAAGACAAAAGGAATCACCACCAAACAGAACATACAGCAACCAACATGACACTCTGCTGTGTCAACAGGCACTTGACACTCCCAGCACCGTGATCCAAACGCCAATGGCAGCATGCAMGTGCAAMAATGGAGACCCAACAACAAGCAACCTCCTACTCAACAGTACAAGCGCAACCCTCCCTTTCTCTGAAGAACTATCCACACAAATCACCAGCTGCCTTGAAGACCTCTGGCCAACGGAAGCAGCAACCCTCACCGACCTGCTCATCGTGCACARTGTCCTCACCACAGAAACCCCAGAAACCCCCAACCAACCAACCAATCACAAAGAAAACAACAAAAACACTACMACAAACCTTGATAACCAACCAAACCAGCTTGAAACAAACAAAAACAACACACACACTGGAACCAACAACATCAACCTACTTGCCTGCTGGCGCGRCTGGAGGAGGAGCAGTATCAACAGGGACAGGAACAACAACTTCCCCCTCCTGATCCAAATCAGAATCATCTGAGGAGGAGAGTATTCCATCATCACAGCCTCCCAGAGCTGTCATTAGCTTCATCAGACCTGAACCATTCCATTTTGACCAAAAACTACAGTGTATCCCCTTGATCCACAATTTTCTACAGCATTTTCTACATAGCTTTTGTACGACAGACCTTCAAATAGATCCAGTTTGCTTCTCTCTGAGCAGCTTGCTGATCAGCTGGATCAGCAGCTGCTGGGCCTGCCAGCATGCCACCACCAGTTTTAGTAGAAATCCTACATATTCCTACTGTGCTAACTTATGGAATGTTAACACTACTAACATTCAGAACATTCACATTCAYATTCACATTCAGAACGTTAATTGAASGTTCCAAACCCCTGAATTAACAAAAGTTCAATTTTTACTATGTGTTGGGGATCAATTGAAAMCATTGTTCATAGAGCATTCCCAAAGTYAATTTAACATTCCAAATGTTAGAAATAAAGCTGTTCCAAATGTTTATTTAACGTACAGAATGTTAACTTTATTGTGTAGTAGGCCTACATAGACCCTAGTATTATCTGCATTCTTCATTCAGTCTTGCACCTGCCTAAAAAAGGAAGAAGGGTTCTAAAAAAGAGGAAGAAGAGGACACCTCCCCTCCTAACTTYCAGACTGTTAAGCAGAGCATTCAGGACATTAAATTGAAGCAAAAACCACAGTACTCATTTCTACATAGCCTACGCTGCTACAATTCAGAATGTTAAATTAACATTGGGAACGCCTGCCCTGTGAAACGTAGTTTCAATTGATCCGCAAAGCGTAGTATTTTATGCAGAGTCCTTTGTTCACAACACTTTTTGTTAATTTGATATGCGACAATGTACAAAGTCTTAAAGAGTGTAGAGATAACCCTATTGACTAGATAAAATATTAAAGAGTGAGATCAACACTCTACTTTCTCTGGGTCTTGTGTATCTCTATTGGATCATATTCTGATCTCTTTTGACAAATTTTGTCCAACCTGGCCATAAATTGTGACTGAACATAAATTGATAAAAATTTGATAAAACTCTGACC